CACGCACACACACAAACACACACGCACACACACAAACACACACAAACACACACACAAACACACACACAAACACACACACAAACACACACACCTACACACAAACACACACACAAACACACACACGCACACAAACAAACACACACAAAACCCTAAAAGATTCTTGCTGCGTGGTTTATGCTTATCCTTTGTATTTTTCTGTATTCATCATATTTGATCTGATTTTATTTCATTTACTTACATTGATTGGATGCACTTCCTGCTGGTGATTGCCTTAGTGGATTGTAAGATGTGAAGACTGTAAAAAAACAAACAAGCAAATCAGAAACAAAAAAAATAAATCAACTTTATGTGGCTGCCTTAATAAGTGTGATGATTTTTCAGTTTACTCACAGTTTTTTGCTGAATTCCATAAAGACTTGCCTCCTGTAAAATGCAAAAATAAACTGTCAACTTCAATAACTGTTAATTATTTTCAAACTTAACCAATGAAAATATTCCTGAAACCTACCTGCAGCTCCAGCAGGATCCGTATTGACTGCTCCCCCCTGCCTGCTTAGTAACTCAGACGTTTTGTTGTTAAATACATCACAGCTCATGTGATCTCCACCATTTTCCTCAACAATTTGGTCAAACAAACTTAACAACTTTGAAGGTTCAGTGTTCTCCTGCCACCATAAGTGGTGTTTACATTTTCTGATAATTTCGCCTAATGGTGGATGTTTGTCTGTAAGACCAGTATTCTCCTCTCTGGGTGCTGAGATCAGTACCAGTGAATGGTGAAAGGACTGACCACTGAAGATTTCAAGGATCGACTGAAGCCTCAGTCTTTGCTCCTCAATGAAGTCTTCAGGCTGTAGAACCAGCAGGAACACATGAGGTCCAGGATCAGAGAGCCTCACAAAGTTTTCTACCAGCTCTGTCAGTTTTCGTTCAGAGACCCGGAGCAGGTTCGGAGTGTTGATGAGAGTTATTGATTTCTCCTTAATCTGTCTACTGTGTTTCAAGCATTTGTCTAACTCATCCTTAGTGCTGAACACGGTCTCTCCCAGTATGAAGTTCCCCACGTCGCTCCTCAAAGACCAGCTGTTCCCCAGCAGAACAACCCTCAGCTCAGACACTGAAAAGAAAATTATTTGTTATTTAAAATTACTGTCTGTTGTATATTGTATCATACCGGTTTCTTTATAAACTATATTTTCTACTGTCAAATAATAAACCAATGCTATTTCAAACACACATGAGTCTCAAGTCACCCTGATTTCTTTGTATTTTGTGCCCAAGGATGTAGCATTTTGGGGGGCTTCTTGCTATTTATTAAGATAAGATAAGATAAGATAAGATAAGATAAGATAACCTTTATTAGTCCCACACGTGGGAAATTAGTTTTGTCACAGCAGAAAGTGGACAGTGCAAAAGTTATATAGCAAAAATTAGAATACAATACGAATAATATACTGTACACAACTGTACAGAATAGAATAAAATAAAATGCTATATACAGTAGAATAAAATATACAAATGGTAAATGGCCTGTATTTGTGTAGCGCTTTTACTAGTCCCTAGGGATCCCAAAGCACTTTACACACCCAGTCATACACACGTGGAGGTAGCTACAGTTGTAGCCACAGCTGCCCTGGGGCAGACTGACAGAAGCGAGGCTGCCATATCGCACCATCGGCCCTTCTGGCCAACACCAGTAGGCGGTAGGTGAAGTGTCTTGCCCAAGGACACAACGACCGAGACTGTCGGAGCCGGGGTTTGAACCGGCAACCTTCCAATTACAAGGCGAACTCCGAACTCTTGAGCCACGATCGCCCAACCATACAGCAGGATAAAAATAGAATACAAATGCGAGGACACGAAGAAATGAGAGGACATAATAAAAGCCTCTCATAATGTGTGTCTTCCCTCTGTTCTGGGAGAGAGAACAGAAGACACACAGCAAATGGCACAGTGCAGATATGAATCCTGGCCTCAGCCTTACAGAATGTGAGTCAGTCCCAGCGGCCTACACCAGAGCTCCAGGACAAGCCAGGCTTTCTTGTCATTTTTTTTTCTCCAGCCTTTCTGAAGCTCTTTTCAAACTTCTTCAGACATCGACTGCTTTTACATTCATTTCAGTCCAGTTTTTGTACCAGATTATTTTCAAAAGAAAGTTTATTTTTTAATTATTATTGTTTTGGTGTTTTATGTGTTTAGACTGTTCCCCCCATTCCATGCATGGCCACCTGGGTTGGCTGGAAGACTGTTTACTTAGCCTGGCAGGGCGAAGGACACTGTCTCAGCTGAACTCTGGACACACAAACACACATATACACTAATATGCACACACTCATCCCCCCTCCCTTTCCACACGCCTTCGATGCTTGTGCCCTACCGGGGAAGATGGCAGTCGACTGGAGCAGCGCAGACATGCTGCAGGACTGGATGCGCTGTCTACACCGGCTCTCTCTCACCCTTTACCCACCCTGTTCCTTGTCTTGTGTTTCTGTGGTGTATTGATAGTCATGTGCTTTTTGTGCTGAGGTGTTTTTTCTGTTATCAGACTGTTCTCCCACTAGGAGCTCAGTCTGAGTGGAGTTTTTCTTACCTCATGTTATGTATTTTCGTTGTTTTTTTCCTATCAGCCGACATTTCTGACATGTCTCCCCAATGTGATGTTTGTGTAAAGTTGGTCAGAAGGTTCCTTTGTAAGTGCGCATGCGCCACTAGCGTGCTACCTGCTGTAACCCTAATTTCCTTCGGGATTAATAAAGTATTCAGATTCTGATTCTGATTTTTTAAAACCTGAGTATGAACTTACATAAAATGCCGCAAAATATTTAAAAAAAACCCCCAAAACAAACAGTTTTATTGATTATAAAATACACTATATCGGATTCATATCGGTATCGGCAGATATCCAAATTTCTGATATCGGTATGGGTATCAGACATAAAAAAGTGGTATCATGCCATCTCTACACCATACAATGACACATTTCAATAAACTGCTCCACAGAGATTGATAGATAGACTTACTTGAAGGTGACATGTATCCAGTACTGTTTCCTTGCATCTGCTCACTCCTGTTGACTGTAAGATAAAGAAACATTAAGTCTCTTTTTTCACATGTGCTCTCTAAATCAGACATTCTTAACCTTGTTAGGCACATTCCCTCATTTTGAATATGTCATATTTTCACAGAGTTGTGGGTTTTTGGTCTTTGATATTTTGTGTTTGCTTATAACCAGAAAGTGTAGGCGTTGTCAGACGTTTACATCCATTCATCATGGGCATGGATTCCATGGTAATTTGAGTCTTTTAATGATTTCTTTGAACTGTTCTTTTTCCAGGGCAGAATGATTATACGGCACACATTTTAAATAACTTTTAAAAACAAGAATTAGGTGCACAAATTAATTATTTTGAATTTGTTCTAATCCATACAGGCTCAAAAATACACATAGACCCCCAGTAATATTTGGTTAAACGTCCCTTAGCAAGTTGGATCTCAACCAAATACTTTTGGTAGTCATCAACAACAAAACCAAAGACACCAAGAGTACATGAAACAAATATAAACATTAAAAAACCAACACAGAATATTTGAATGAACACTAGAAAGTTCAAAAATACACAAACCATGGGTAAAAGGGCCCAGCACCATAACACTAAGAAAAGAATAATGGAAGCTTACTTACTTTAAAATACACAAGCACCAATGTTAGCAAGGCAGTTAAACAAAGCTTCCAAATTTGTATTGATTGTCTGGAGTAACAGCTTCTTAAGTATCTCATCCTCAGACTGACCACTCACCTTTCGGCTTTGCTCAGTTGTAGTTCCTCTAAAGCTCACAATATCATTGCTGTTAATCTGAGCAAAGTTACTGTTTACATAGATACTGAAGAATCACGTCCTTCATGCTGAGTTTTTTCACAAATATATTTCAATATTTTAACTGATTTACTGACTCACAGTCAGGCCGTAGAAAATCTGGGCTCCGCCCCCGCTGCTTAGGTTTTGCAACACCGTCCTCTGTAGAAAAAACAAACCTCAGAATGATATCTACACTTATAACTGAAGTCATCTTCTTTTTCAGGAAAAACTTCAAGTTAGTTTCAACACTGATTTTTCCAGGACAGATGTGCAGAAAACACAAGAAACAACAAAAAGAAAAACATGATTTAAGGAGATTGCAGAGAAGCTGCAACAGCGCTGCTGAAAAGCACCAAGTTTGGGACAATGAAAGATGTTTATGTAACTCTTCTTCAATATATCTTGCTCTTTCTATTTCTACTGAAGACACTGACTTATTCAGAACAATAAAACATTACTGTACTCACCATATTCCACATTCGCCATAATGAATTCTGCTTAAAATATCAGTTACACCTTCATCTGCAGGGGCGAAACACAACTTATCTGGTTAACAGGTAAGAAGGAACAATTCATTAACTGACAACAACGTCTTTGGACAAGCAGTGAATACTTGTGTTTTAGTAACTTAGTACTGGGTTACCTGTGTATTAGTGCAGTGTCCTCTGATTCCGAAGAGTTCTCAAAAAGCTGTTCATTCACCATCTAAATGGGACACGAATACATTCAGTCATTTACAGCAAAGGTTTGTTAAGTGAAAGCAATGTTTATTTAAAGTGAAGTGAAAACTCTAATGTCACAGAGAGCAAGAAACAATGTTGAGTTTTGTTGAATCATCATTATCGTTGAGATTTAAACTCCATGATGAATAAATGCTGGCTCACTAGTACAGTACTGATGAAACTGACAGATAAATGACAAAGACATTGGAATAATATGTATTTAAAAGTTGTCCTGCCACCTTACTGGGGTGAAAGGGTTTGTGTGTCACAATGATCCGATGCGCTATGTTGTTGGCGGACCAGGCAAAGAGTGACTCAGTCAACCTCTTGTGATTCAATCCCTACTATTGGGACATGGAATGTGACCTCTCTGGTGGGGAAGGAGCCTAAGCGAGCTGCTGTGTGAGGTTGAGAGATACTTGCTAGATATAGTTGAGCTCACCTCAGCACATAACTTGGGTTCTGGACCCTGTCTCCTAGAGAGGGACTGGACTCTGTTCCAATCTGGAGTGAAAGGCAGCAGGCAGGGGTTGGTATTCTTGTATCACCTTGGCTTGCTACTAATACACTGAGATTATTGCTAGTGGATGAGACGGTTTCTTCCCATTACCTTCAGGTAGGGAACTGGTCATGACTGTTGTTTGTACTTGACAGTTCAGTGCATATGCCTTGAGTCTTCTGGGAGTCACTGGGCAGTTTGCTCAAAGGTGCTCTATCCAGTGACTACGTCATCCTACTGGGAAATTTTAATGCTCATATGAGACCTGGAGTGGTGCAGCTGTGAGCAACAGCATGCTTGATCTGAGCCTGATATTCTGTTCTATTCTGGTTGCAGGTTAAAAATCGATTTTGTAATGGTATCACTGATCTCTAACTGAAATGTCAGCTGATTACCAGCTGGTGGTGAGTTGGATCAGGTGCTGGGGGAGGATGTCAGACAGGCCTAATGCACCTAAACATTTAGTGAGGGTGGGTTGGGAATGCCTGCCAGAGGCCCCGGCCCCATGAGATGTTCAACTCAAATCTGCAGCAGAAATTTGACAGCATTTCGAGTCCAAATTCCTTCTTCTTCCACAGCATGTCTTTATCCTGTCTTTCTTCTCTCACCCCAGCCAATCACAGCAGATGGCCCCGCCCCTCCCTGAGCCTGGTTCTGCTGGAGGTTTCTTCCTGTTAAAAGGGAGTTTTTCCTTCCCACTGTCGCCAAAGTGCTACTCATAGGGGGTCATCTGATTGTTGGGTTTTTCTCTGTATCTATGAAGCGCCTTGAGGCGACTTTTGTGTGATTTGGCGCTATATAAATAAACTTGAATTGAATTGAAATGGATGATGTTCCAGATCTCTATAATTATGGCTGCAAGGTGGTTGGTGCCTGTTTGGTGGTAATCCCCAAACCAAATTGTCCTATCAGGCTCGGCAAGCCTGTGGGACTTCTGAGGCAGCTGACCGGTACTGGCATGCCAAGCAGAATGCAGTTAGCTTTTACTTCAGCTTTGCCCAAAGACAAAGTTTGGTTGAGGGAAGAGAGAGTGAATGAATATGATGCAGTTCTACAGAAAACAGGCATTTTATCGGGCATTTGGGTTCTGTTTATGTTGCTTTTTCATTGTTTTGTTTTGTTGTTTTCTGTGTTATTTGCTGAGTTTTGGATGTGGTGCCCTGCCTGGGATTACTGTAATGACCCTAATATCACTAAAAAGAGCACAGTAGTTTGTATAGTACAGTAGTTTGACCTAAAACCAGTGGAAGCCCCCGCACTTCTATCTGTTTCAATGGGTTAAATATCTTGGGAACTTGTTCACAAATAAAGGTAGTAGGACACTGACCAGCGGATTGGGGCTGCAGCTGCAGTGATGTGGATGCTGTACCAATACATTGTGGTAAAGAGAGAGCTGGGCGTAAAAGTGAAGCTGTCATTTTACCAGTTGATCTACAACCCTGCCCTTACCTGTGGTTACAAGCTTTAGGTAGTGACCAAAGGACTGCGGATACAAGCGGTGGAAGTGTTGAGCTTTCGCTAAAGGGTGGCTGGCCTCTCCCTTAGAGACAGGATGAGGAGCACAATCATTCGAGAGGGCATCAGAGTAGAACTGCTACTCCTCCACATCAAAAGGAGCCTCCTGGGTGAGGGGTTTGAAGCATCTCCTGCTGGGAGGAGGCCCCATGGCAAACTCAGGAACACACTGGAGAGATTATATCTGTTTGCTAACGTGACAATGTGTCAGAGTTCTCCTGGCTGGCCACTGATAAATGGCAGAAAATGGATGGATAGGATAAAAGTTGCCCTGTTATAATTGGTTGATCGTGTATTTATAGTTGACCAGGTGACAACACTGGGGTTGAAAAGTCATTGACTTAACTGGAAAATTAAAGCTATTATTATTTAGACTATTTTATCAAACTCTTCTTCACAGCATTTCATCTGTCCAGTAATAATACATTTTATTTAAAAATAGTGGCTTTCAGAGCACCCAAGGACACTGTACAACAAATACACAATATACACAATAATAAGAGTAACAGATAAAAGTTAAGAGCATGCAGAGATTTAAACATAAGCAATTTTAAACAGGTGGGTTTTGAGGGTGGACTTAAAAAGAGAGAATGAAGTAATGTTTCTGAGGTCAGGGGGTAAGGGATTTCAAAGTCGAGTGGCAGAGCACATATGGAATTATGTCTCCACTAAAGGAGAGGCCAGCAAATCATTGGAGAAAGCTCATTTCCACCGTGACTCTTGGTTTTCCTTTCCTGGGGCAGTCCTCATGTGAGCCAGTTTCGTCTTAGCACTTAATGTTTTTTACGACTGCACTTGGGGACTCATTCAAAGTTTTCTGGACTGCCTGACCTTTAGTTCTTAAACTGTCGTTTTTCTTTACATAGCTGATTGGTTCTTGCCATAATATGAATTCTAACAGTTGTCAAATAGCGCTGTCAGCTGTGCACCAACCTTGCTACATAATTCCATATATCTTGCGTCATATATTAGATCTCTTCCGAATGTATCTACTATGTAGAAAGTAGTAAAAATAAAGAAAACCATTAAATCAGAAGGTGTGTCCAAACTTTTGACCAGTGCTTTTTTTCTTCTTTTTTTTTAAATGGTAGAAGATGGTTAATGGTGTAAGACAAGCTTTTAGAAATACGTATTAGTCCGTTTTTGTACAAAATGCACTATATTCTATCATGAGGTACCAAAATACTAGGAATGACCCATGCTTTATTCGCATTTTATAAATGTCATGTTAAGGTGTTTCTAGTAATTCTAATTTTAATTTTAATTTAATTTAATTTTAAGTTCAATTAAAGTTCTGTTGATGAATGCCAATTCAATTTTAACCAACAGTGCAAAAATCATCCAGAAGAAATGGCAGTGTAGGGGCCAAAATGTATAGTGGTGACTATCACTGTCTGTGATAATCCACTTGAAATCCATTTGTTTTTGAGGCAAGATTGCATTTCAGTCAGTTAATTAAGCAAGAATGACAGGACAAGACCAGACATGACCATGAACAGAAAATATCTGAGGCCTACTTATCTTCTCCCACACATCATGCTACCTCAGGAGTAGGGATGGGATCAAAAACAGTAGTTCAATTCCTTTGAATTGTTAGTGTTTGCTTTTCAATCCCACTTATTGGTTCCACTTGTAGTGCACTTGTGCTACAATCAGCTAATTTCAGTTCGTGTGCAGGAGGAGGAAAAAGTGGCGCAGCCTGCAGCGTGGATATGGACTTTACTTTTATTTTTATTGCACAAGAGCATGATGGTAAAGTCCAAACTGTATATAGAACAGAAACAGCAGCATTATGTTGCTAACACAACGTCAGCTCTTTCCAAGCATCTGCAGAGACAGCATGCTAACACTGACCTAGCCAAGAATCCAGAGTAATGCCCTCTACTGCATGACTTTTTGGAAAAAAATATTGCTCCCTATTTTGGGGGAAATTTAGGGTCCCTAATAATATATCAATCATAAAATTTGACACCCTGCCCCCAAAAACAAATATTGGTTTGTTGCTTCAAGGCAACACTGTGCGACAAGGGTAGTAAAATGCCAAGTTATTCCATAATAAGTTGTATTAGTACAACAAGCATGAACAAATAAATAAACAAGAAATAAACAATGTAAACATTTCACAGAACAATAAAACACCAAAATACATCCAACATTTGACCTTAACCCAATGCACACACACACACGTTGTGTTTCCATCACTTTTGGGGACATTAAATTAACTTACATTCATTTCCTGGAGACTTATCCTGACTCTACCCATCACAAGTCCCTGCCTGAACCTTACCCTTACCCTGACTCGAGCCTTCACCCTAAAA